GCCGTCGCAGTAGCATCCACTTGGCGCTGTGTCTACGCCTTCAATGGCTTTGGTGAACTGCTTCTGCTCGGGCGTCAACTTGCGTTGAAGCTCCTCGGCAATCTCCTCGGAGTTGGTGATCCAGCGATGTGCTTTTATCACTGGGAATCCGTCGTGGGTTTCAGCACCATAGGCTCCAGCGTCGCACTGAACCGTGAGGACTCCAGGCAAGTTGGAAACCTCATCGACGTCCGGCTCCTTCCAGATGCGTGATCTGAGAGGGTTTTCTCCCAAAAAGAATCTTCCGGATTGGTGCTGGTGGCGCATGAGGTCTGTGCCAAGCTTCATCAGAGGTCTGTCGATCTCGTCTCGAAGTTGTTCAAGTTCTTCGAGTCGGTCGGCATAGTTCAAGTTCTCGTTGAACTGTGACCAACGTGTGCACGGCCATGCGACCAGTATCAACAGGGGTCTGAACTTGTGGACGACCTGCCAGAGTGTCTTCTGATCTGCCGCATTGTTCAAGTCCAGGTTGTACTGTTGGTCGATTGGCTCCAGCGCACTCAAGCCGTGCTTCCACGCTCGAATGGTCACGTTGGCTGAGCCTGCAAAAACTTCCAATAGGTCAACCTTCGATCCCTTGGTCTCCCTTTTGGCATGGTTCATCAAGGAATCATAGACCTTCGTCTCGTTGTTGTAGATCTTGCTCACATTGCGAAGGTGACCGGTCAGCCAAGCTTGTGTGCCCTTCTTCACATTCACTTGTTGAGGAGTTCCCAATCGTACTCCGAGCTTTCGTCCGAGAGTTCCTCCACCTCCCCGTCCCGTGTTGCCGAGGGTCTCTTGGTTGAAGCCTTCGGTCTGGCTCCCTTCTTGCTTGCCCTCTTGTTGGTGGCCTGGTCCTGCAGAGGAAGAGGAGAAAGACTTGGAGAACTCGCATAGCTCTTCGATGTGGGAATGGAGGCTCGGGCCGCTGGAGTCAAAGGCATAGCGGTCAGTGCCCAGGTTGGACGACGACCCTTCTCCAGGAACGTAGATGCCGTTGAGGACGATGGCAATGGCAGCGAGCGCTGCTTTGGCATAGGTGGATCGTTCCACTTTTCTTCCTCTGGTGACCACACCCACTTCTTCCCGCAGAGGTGGCACTTGGCGAAACTGCCGTGCTTGTTGCCGTAGCGCTGCATCGTCTCGTGTTTGCATGGTTCCTTGGCCTTTTGCACGATGGCTTCTGTTGCCTCCATGTCCATTGGGTCCTGGTACGTCAGCCACTTTTTCGGACGGATCCGAAATCTTACTGCTTGCACCATGACTCTTGCTAGTAGCATCTCTGCATGTCTCAGAGTTTCGACCATCTTCCTCCAACTGAACAGCCATCGTGGAGGAAGGCCCTTGTTCATCGGCACAATGGTCGTTGTCAGCGAATTTGGTTTTGCTTGATCCGTCTGCGTTGGCAAACAGCAGGTCCGAATCAAGGTCAGGATCATGACACATCTTGTGATAGACACTCCAAATGTTTGACTTTGCAGCACACTCAGGAAACTGGTTGATATACAGCGCTAAGTGTCCTGCCACTTTGCAAATGGGGACGGTGATGTCCAGCAGCCCAATGTAGGCCTCCTGGTCAGGCAGATTCAAAACCATCTTCAACTTGTTGCTCATAAGAGTACTGCTTGCCAGGAAGGGGATGTTGTTGGTGGTGGAAATCACGCTGGCACCCAAAAGCATCATGTGGTTTTCCTTGAAGTCAAAACAAGTTGGAATCAAGGCATGCTCGTGGCTAAATTGTGGGGGTCCATGACCAAACTCAAAAGGTTCTCGATTTGGTGTAGTGCGAATACGAAGACCATACATGTTGAGGATACTCTTTTTCTCGTCCAACCACATAGAACTGCAACATGACTTCTGACATGCCGTGTCTAAAACCACGACTTCACTAAACTGCTGAGCGCTGGCACCACAAACTTGATGGATGTCGGCAACTGGTTGATTCACCATGTAAGTGAAATAGGTGCCGAAGGATTCCTTCTGAACATCATCATCAAAAGAAACTGAACGCCCGCTTCCATCAGGATGGCGCACTTGCATAACCTTTTTCCCAGCAGGCTTGTAGGTGGTGGCGGCAGGTGATGCTGATTGCTTGGAAGATTTGCCATCTCCCTTTGGGTTGCTGCCTTTGCTAGGCGTGGCGCTGCATGCTGCGTCACCCTGCCAATGGCCTTTCTGACCACAAACTGCACAGTGTGACTCGGCTTTTCTCTGGGCAATCGTCTTTCCGCCAGAGAACTTGCGAGCCAAGGTGATGCCTTGGAGGCGTCTTGCAGTGACAGTCAAACATCTGGCAGCTTCTTGCAATTCTCCCCAAACATCATCGCATTCGCCATCTTCGTCTTCTGCCTCATTTGGAACAGGCTGTTCCCCATTCTCTTCATCATATTCCGCATTGGGCTCATGTGATTCGTCTACCTCGTTCTCCGCAGTGGTCTCGTCCTTCTCATCCTCCGGGGCGTTGCCGTCTTCAGTCACGTAGGTCTTTTTCACAAAGGCAGAAGCATGATTGGGTTTGCCTTTCTGGTTGCCCTTGGCGGAAGTGTTGCTACGGTTCGTGGCATTGCCTTTCCCATTGCTGTCTTTGGCTCCAGCTGGTCGGTCACCTCGATCATCTCGATCGAAATCACGGGTGTAGACCACAGGTGGAGTCTGGCGATGCTCAGGAAATTGGATTTCTGCTGCGTCCTTGATGTCTTGGTACCTCAGAGACTGTCCAGTTGCGACAAGGATAAGCCTCTGAGCATCGATTCCAAGCCTCAAACGGTCCAAGAGTCTGGAACCTGCAGATTCGGCATCATACATGTTGCCGGTGTTGATACCGACGCTCAAAAGTGAACGTTCTACTCGATGATATCGATTGCAGAAAGCTTTCACTGTTTCGCCATTTCTACGCTGCAGTCTCTCGAAATCATCTAAAAACTTGCGTTTCAAGTAAATTCCTTTCACCATCAAAGAGCTTCTCAAAGTCTCCAGAATGTAATCAACACCTGAGGCCGAATCAACACGCTCAATGTCGCAGTGCTCCAACTCCTCAGCTGCTTCGCCTTGAAGCTGAACATACAAAAGCATGGCGCTCTCGTTGGCAGGAAGGTATGACGCGATTTGGCGTCTCCAGACAGTCAGCTTTCTTTCCCAGCGTTGGAATGCTTGCAGATCACCTTTCGTAGCTGTCCACTGCGGCGGTTGTGGCGGTGTTCCGCCTCGAAACTTCACACCTGGCTGTGGGCCTTTTGCAGGAGACCATTCTTTGGGTTCCTTGTCTTTGCTGACAAGGGAGTGCAAATCCTTCAACATGGAATCACGCCAAGCTGCATTCTTGGTACTTGGCTGGTCACTTCCTGCATTGCTTTTCCCAAGACCAAAACCTTTTCCATGAAGTCCTCGGTTATCGAACGGGCTTGCAGGAACATTGCCAGTGGTACCTGGTTCCTTAGGACGAACAGGTTCTTTGGAAGGTCTTTGGACTTGAGGGCTATGACATACTTTGGCATCATGTGAAACTCCAGGTTGAAGCTCGTCGGTTCGTCTCGCTGCGCGGCGCTGTCGTCTTGAAGGCCTAGGCAGCAAGGTGTCGGGATCGACACATGGATCAATTGTTGCTGTTTCTGACTCAGCTTGGGCTTCATGATATTCATGAGCTGCAGGAGGTCCTGGATCACCATGTTTGACAAATGGGCTCACAGGTGGCGGTGGAATCATATCACTTGACGTCGGGTGACCATCCGGCACATACGTCCAACGTCCAGCCTGACTGCGAAAGGTTGAAGCGCGGAAAGCATCATAGAAGACGTCATGTCCACAGCGATTGCATGACCAACCACCAGTCAAGTTACGTCTCCAGTCAGGGCTCTCGCACGCCCGGCACAGCCATAGATATTGAGGGCCTGTGTATCCATTCGTCAGCGAAGGCATCGTCGACGAACTCTCATCATCCTCAACATCGAACCCATGGGATCGGTACGGGTCAACTGACAGGGCATCATATCCAGCGATCGTCTCAGCGTCGTCCTGGTTATTCACACCGTCGACTGCAGAGGATTCATTTCCAGAGTGCCAGCTGTGTTGCTCCCAACTGTCATCCATGGTCGGCTCCGGTGCCAACTCACAACAATGCTTGCTTGATGCACTGTTTGAAATCAAAGCTCAAAGAAATGCGAAGTGCAAAAGCCGCGGCATCTTTTGCATCAAATGGCATATGGCTCATTCGGCCGTCTGAAGAAAGGAACGTGGGCACGGCATTTGGGCCCGGAAATGATGGCGTGATGGACCTGGCAACGCATCAGAATTGAAGGTGCATGCCTGACAAATCTTTACATATTAAAATAGATAATTAGTTGGCTGATTTGCGTAGACTGATTCTCTTCCCGCCTGATTTGGCCCCTCCATAATCATTCGAACAGCAGGGTAGGGCCAACGGCCGTAAGTCGCGAACTAAATCGGCTTTGGCAAAAAAAAATAGTTGGCTTGGCGTCGATTCTAGATATCCCCAAATTCCATTCCATTCCATTCCATTCCATTCCATCATTTTCCATCCGTAGGATTGAAAAACATAAAACCAACTTTGAAAATCAGAATCATTAAACATCCCAGAAAAATCAAAGTATAAAGAATCCATAAAGTCTAAGGCGTCCAATGTTCAGTCGCGAACTGTTCGTTTTTTGGCGGCTGCGCATCCAGCTGACAGGCTTGTACTCAGCACCAGTGGTGCGTTGCTGCTGTCAAACTGCTGCTGCGTGAAACACGTGGCCGTCTCTAGGCCTTTCAGATTTTCTCGTTTTTTGAATCGTTTGAAAAAATGAGAATATTTATGACTAAAACTAATTAATACGCATGATGATATCGAATGATATTTTTCATGAATGATACTCGTGATTGTTCTGGGCCCTCTCTCTTTTAGAGGCGTTCGGTTGTGATAACTTCTTTGCGATTGCCTCCCAAATCATTTCTTCCAGGATCCCAAATCCGTCCATGCCCACTCAGTCTTCATCTGAGTCGAAGGTGGTATGCACCTACCGGAACCAAACGCCAGGGATCACAGCATGTTCGAACGCCACTTTCGCAGCGCTGCATGTTGGAGCAAACATCAAATATCTTTGGTAATGCAACATGGCAGTGGGAAGTCCACATCAAAAATGGAAGTTTTCATCAAAAATAATCTATAAATCGGGGATTCCCAGCAAAACCATGTTTGATTAGCGGTGGATACTCCAGTGACCTTTTTGGCTTCAAGCGCAGCCATCTGCTCTGCACTCCTTAGCCGCACACGGACAAAACATGCCATAATTGTTGGGCCAGGACCCCACTAAGTGCGCGGCTTGAAGTGAGCACCAAAGAGTGGGTGGGCCTGTTTCGCCCAGACACAATTCAATGTGCAAAGAAAAACTAAACACTAAAACCAAAACCAATCTTAGCCAAAAAACAAACTGTATATACAAAGATATCTTAAGATGTCCAAAACGTTCCAATGTTCATGTTTGCATCCTTGATGACCTTGACTGCTTGGTCTTTTGACCATTGAAGTCCGCCTTCTTCTTTGTGGCCTTGTTTCCGCCGGAGGTATTGGCAATGCTTTCCAATTCCTCGTTCCATGCAGCGGAAACGGCAGCTATACTATAGTATTCTGTTATATATTAGGTTGGCGTTTCAACAGTTCCGAAAAAGAAAGGCCCTAAGGGGATGAAGGCAAATTTAACAATACTGTAGCTTTCCACAGCAATGATCACTGCACACTCCCTGCATGTTTTTCCTTTCCACGGACGAATTTGTTGCTGCCGTTGCAGCTGCTGCACCTGAAGGCACTTGGACATCTCAAAAGAACAATTTTACGCGAGAATTTACAGGAAAAATACCGTGCCCCAAGAGTTGGACCCTTTTTGTGCGAGCCTGCGCAGTCGAAATGCACTTGGACGTCTCACAAGAGCAATTTTATGCAAAAAAAATACAGGAAAAGTGCCGGGAATCAGAGCGCGTACATCTTGATCTAACCCGGCCTTAACCCCTACCGTAAGAACCCTCAGTGTGGACGCAATGTTTGAGGAAAAATTGTCGAGCGCAGGCCAGCTGCGTCCCATTGGTCCGAAGTAGTTCTGTCGACGGTTGCCGCATCCATCTCACGGCAGTGCACAACATCACGGCGAGGAACTGCAATATTTTCCAAGGACGCGCCAAAAAAAAAAGCGGAAGATTTCAAGGATCTCGACAGGTTTCTGTTCAAGGACCTATCAAAAGAAGTCGCACAGCTTTTGTCATGAAGCATCATTGGAAGAAATCTCCAGCATTCGGAAGCCTGCCGTGACCAGTGACCAAAAGGGTCAGGATATTTCAGGATGATAAGAGCAATGAAGATGGAGAGCAGCTTTTGGCATCGACAGCAAGACGGTATGAGACTAACTTCAGATGTGCGGTGTGTTCAAACATCAAAAATTCGAACAACATATGCTAAATGCCAACGTAGTATTAATATGATATTGCATATAATATATTGTTAATTAGATATGAAACTCAGGGCCGTTTTGAAATGCGACGTTCTTCAGTCACTGTCCTCCCATTGTTCAGGACAATGGACTTACCATGTCTATGCGTTAGGTCCTTGGGGACTTCTTGGTTGGCTTTGCGGAGGATGGCACAAAGATCGCCAGCATGTGCCTGGCATGGACGACCCATGACGACCCTATCCCGGTGAGATCAACAAATCCGCTGCGAAGCGGTGCGAACCTTCTCATCCTGTGCTCCTTTGGAGTCGGGGCAGAAAAAGCAAATGGCAAGGCCTGTCAGCGAACATGAGAAACTCAAGAAAAATCATGTAGATTTCATCTGTTCAACTTCAACATGTTCACTTCTCACGGAAATATCTTGTCAAACACGGCAGGTTGCCCTTGCAGCATTGCCCCGCCTTTTTTTCCAGCTCGGCCAGTACGGCCGATTCGATGTGTATACTCCTTCACGGGAGAACACGGAGAACCCAGGAATTGGTGGACCGCATGCAGGAGATAGGTAGAGAATAAAATGAACAAAACTCAAAAAGAGCAAACAGCACAAGTTTGTTGAGTTTGTTGCGTAATTGTCACCCTTGACTCACGAAAGGGAAATCATGGGCAATGCATTGATGCAGCTATTCAGCTCCTCAATGGTAAGCGGAAAAGTATAATTGATCACGAGCTCCACATCCTTGTGACTCTTTGGCTGAAAGCAGAAAGGCACGGCATTTTGCCGGCGATGACAAGCTGAATGACTCTTGTGGCAACATATTCCTTTTATTTCCTTTTTGTGTTTCATGATGTTTCATGTTTCATTGCGCTTGGAACGAATTTGGTCAATCTGACACATGCCATCAATTGCCATCACATGCCGGTGCCTGGACGTCGAGACCTCTGCCAGCGACATCCGTGGCAATCAAAGGTGTCCTGAGATGCAATGATTCACAGAAACTCACAGCTTCGACATCTTTTGATAGGAACATGTCGGGGTTAGTCTTGGAAGATTTTTCTTCCGGTGACCAGAGACCATCAAAAACCAGAGAGCAACTGGCTGATCTGCTCTAATCTGCAATTGCTTCCGAGTGTCTTCTTGGTGGCTTTGAAGTCTGCGAGTGCCTGGAACAGCTTGTGAGTTGAAGACTCTTGTGCATCTGAAGCTTTGAAGCACTGCCTGCGTTCTCTTGTCCTGCGACATGTCCTTAAGGCACGGGCAAAACACATCAAAACACTAGGAACTTCAACAAGAACCGTTTTTCCTCCAAAGCCTATTGTCATCGTGTCACTCTGTCTGGTTTTCGAGAATTTCTGGGTTGCTAACCCCCTGCAATGCAATGACTTTCTCGTAGCCTTTTTCCCACCTCACCAAAGAAACAATGACTTGAACTTCAATCAAACAGTGTCCATTCCCGAGCAAAAATGGTGATGCAGGTGGCAAATAATGTGTGATGTGATCTTTGATGGAGCCAACCATGCCAAGCTCACGTGATCGCCAGTGCCTGGTTATCTGCATCCTACTGCGTCTAGCGGCACTCCTTTACTTTACAAAATTGACAAAGGAGCTGACAGAAAAGTCTCCAGCCAGGCAATCTCCTGCTAAATGGCTTGTCGATCACGGGCTTGTGAAAGCCATGATCAAAGTGCCAGGACTGTTGGGGTTGGATGGGGGTTGGATGTGGTGTATCAGTCCTTCTTGTACAATCCAAAAATGATCACCTGACTGCAGCTCGACTCAAACAAGACAGGGCTAAAGTGCACTTGCAAAAAATGCTCGCAAGGTTTCTGGGACTACATCAATGACATGTTGATGGCACACAGCGTGCCACACAGCGACATCAGCTTCCCGCCTTTTTATCAGGACTGAAATGCTTCTTGAGATAGTGCAACAAACGCGTTGGCTTGTCCTACAATGCTAGCTTCATCTATTTTTGCACGCAGGTCAGCCCTGGCAACTTGTTTTGAACCACAAAGCGGCTATGCCGTCTCGATTTGGCGTGTCATCCTGTGCAGGTGGCTGTGCTAATCTTCTCTGACTTTCTCAGCAAGACTGAAACCTACACAACTGAACATGCTGTTTCACGTTTCAAATTGGAGTGTCTGACATCCATGCACTCCTCCCAGGATTGACATGTTCATGCAATCCTGCTTTCTGGAAAATTTTGAGCTCTCTAGGCCCAAGCCGCTAAGCACACCTTTGGCATGCGTCATATCCGATCAGCTCTCCCACAACCTTAGGGCACTTCTTCTTCGTATGGACTAACTGGTTCTTATCCATCATCATCACGTCAGCCACCAAGTAGGTGTCGCCACATTCACCACAAAGCGGCTTTCTTCCTTTCCAAGACTGTGCCAACGTCGGGCATCCACTGCTTCTATGGAATCTCCTCCCATTTGGTGTGATGATTGGCCCCACCAGGTTCGGCTTCTCTGCACTATCTGGACGCGCAGACCGAGCTCCCTCTCCTTGGTTAGGCTTTGCACCACTCGGACCCGCAGACTGGGCTCCCTCTCCTCCAGGGTTCCCACAGCGCCATCCAGGAGTGGGCACTGCTCCGCTCGGACCCGCAGACTGGGCTCCCTCTCCTCCAGGGTTCCCACAGCGTCGTCCAGGACGAGCAGACTGGGCTCCCTCTCCTCCAGGGTTCCCACAGCTCCGTCCTTGAGCGGGCATAGGAGGCACTGTCTGTGCTCCCTTTTTGTCATGTCGTTCCTCCGTGCCTTTCTCGGTTGTGTGACTGTCGCTTCTGGTAGCGGAGCTTCCTCCTTCCTGTCTTTTTTCATTGGAACCTTTATTTTCAGCTTTTCTCATCCTCAGAGTCGCCACTTTCACGGTGGTCTGTTCTCCTTCTTCACAACTTATCTCTTCTTCTTCTTCGCGTACATGAAGTTGGTGACGTTCTCGATCGCGCATGAAGCCGCGAAACGTCGCGCGTAAGGCCGCGAGAGTCGCGCATAAGGGCGCGAGAGTCGCGCGTAAGGGCGCGAGCTTGGCATTCCTCGTGATCTCTCTTCTCATGAAAGATCTTCCACATTCTTTCTACCAACTTGTACAAAACCACTCCAAGGATCATCATCAACAAGCCAAATGCCGCCAAAACTTCTGATCCTTCTTCCGTCTCACTCTTGTCCATGGCATATACTCTTTCTACCTTCTGAAGTACCGCCATGAGGGTGGCGATCTTTACCACCTTTTCCATATCTCCTGCAAAGACCTTCTTGGATACCGTCACAGCTGGTTCTCTGTCCTGTTCCTCTGCCAATTTTTCTTCCTCTTTCTCAATCCTTTCTTCCTTCGCTCTGGAGAAAGCTACTACATCTGGTAGCCATTCCAGATTCATCTTCTTTGACAGATCCTTCGTTTTGTTGGCACCAAGAAGCTTTGTACCCATGTCTGCGACGAGCTCTGTGCCCCGTCGATGGTGCATCTTCCAGTCTCCAGCTTCCACCCTCCATTTGAGGTGTGTCGCACGTACTTTCAAATGCCGTGTGCGCCAAGCTCCTGTCTGCGTGGTGGACAAAGCCACGGCTGCCATGTTGTCACATACCAGCTGCTTATCCACTCTTCCTTCCAACTCCTCCACTATGCATGCTAAAGAGTCTCCAACTATGACTCCCTCGATGGCTTCTACCAGCTCAGTCTCTGCGGTAGACAAACAGGGGAAAGGCTGTTTTGAGGACCTCCACATCACTGGCGTACCTCCCATGCTTGCTACCACTGAGCCATGCGACAAACCACCACCTGGTGCAAAACTGGCATCTGTTGCCACTTCCAGGACATTCCCTCCCTTCTTCCTGAAGTACAGTCCCATACCCCAGGTTCTGTTGAGGTACTTCATGGTGTGTGCAGCTGCTCCTGCACACCATTTTGGAGACCTGGTTGCATTTGAACAGATACGGCTGGTAGTGTAAGCTAGGTCGGGTCGGGTCTTTCCGGCCAACCACAGCAGTTCTCCGGCCAGTTTTTGGGCCAGTTGGATCTCCTCTCTTGTCCTATCTAGCTCCTCCTCCGGCTCGAAGTTGTCTTTCAAAGGGGATGCCGCAAACTCCTTGCAGTTGTGGCGCTTCAGCACTTCTTTCACAAAGGACTGCTGTCCCGCAAAGTAATCCCCTTCGTTGTTCTTGTAGATCTCGATCCCGCAGAACCGAACTGGCTCTGTTTCAGTGACCCATTGAGGTTTGGTCACTTCCCATGTCTTCTGTATCTTTTCCACCACCATGTTGGTGATCTCCGGGTTCGACATGACCAACATGTCGTCCACGTAAATCAAAACCAATCCTTGCACTCCACCTTCATCTCTAAGGCTGGTATCCTTGATCAGCCAAAGGTTTTCTTCTGCAAAACTCGGCAGCAACTTCAACGTCCTGCCTCCTTGTTGTATTTCCATGCCATGTAGGGTTCCATCCCTGTGATCACTCCACAGGCGAGGCGACTCTCTCAGTCCATAGAGGGCACGTTCCACTAGCCAAAGCTCTCCAACTTCGATCAGACCTAGTCTTTCCAGAACCCGCGGTGGTTGCATCAACACAATGCGGCCTCTGTCTCTTGTTGGGTCTTCTCTTGGTTGTGGTTTCTCATGCACGTCCCCCAGCTGCGCGTTCAAAAACGCTGCAACCACATCTAAACCTGCAATGTCCCACCCATAGCGTGCTGCCATGGACAGTGCAAGTCGCAGGCAGATTGTGTCTGCCCCTCCTGCATAGTAGTTGGCATGTTCCTCCTTGGTTTCTTTTTTGTCTCCTCCTTGAAGGTGATTCCCACACACCACCAGGCGGCATTTCTTCTTACCATCTGGTGCTTTTATCGTGTGTACTGCTTTTCCTGGCACCACCTCCAACTTGTCTGCATGCTCTCTCTTGTAGTACGCAGCTTCCTCTTTGGTCAGCCTCTTGACTGCTCCTTTCTGCACCAAATTGTTAATCTCCTTTCTGATAGCTCCAACCCACTCATCTTTGTTTTGATACACTTCCTGGTTGGAAACTACCCTGGTCTGTAGCACTTCTTCTTCAAGTCGGCCTTCTTGCAGTGCCGCCATTTCCTTTCTGATGGCAATCATCCCTTTCATCACTGCCGGAATGACCTCTTCGTCTTCATTGTACATCGCTTCATCCTGCTCCAAAACTGCCTGGAACAGCTTGATACTTTCTGCAAATTCTTCTTCTGGAATCCTCAAAGAAGCGACTGACATCTTTTTCCTCAGTCTTCTTCGCGCTTCCATAGGGTCCCTTTCTTGAATCACTTCTTCTAACTCCAACTTCTTTTCTTCTTCCTGCGGCTCTTTGCAGTCCTGGATCAGGCAGCTCACCACCTTGAAACTTCCATCTTCTTCCATAACCGCATGTCCTTTTGAAACTTCTGGGATTGGAGTCAGGTAAGTGACTTCCTGTGCTGTCGTTTCAAACTCATCTCCTCTTTTCCATTTCCGCTTTCTTGTCACTATCTTCTGTCCAAACCTTGGCAGTTTGTCCTCAATCCTTTCAAACCTTCTTCTCTCCAGCTCTACCACATGTCGTGCTGCAATCGGCCACCACTTCGTCTCCATGCCAGAGGAGTGCAAGAGACGTCGCACCCTTCCCTTGATAGAAGCTATTGCAGCTTCTGCTCTTCCATTTTGTTGGTGTTCTTCTGGGGTGGACGATGTCCTCACAATTCCTCGGTTCAAGCACCATCCCTTCAAGTGCTTGTTGACAAAGGTTGTTTCATAGTCCGTGTGCAGGCGTACGACTGGGTAGCCATACCTTCTGAGCTTCACCACCAATTCTTGGACTCCTGACAAAACATCCAGCGCATGCTTTGAGGCTAATGGCACACATGTCATCAGCTTCAGCATTCCTTTTGTCTTCAACTTTTCTTCCAGCCTTCCTTCTTCAGTCTTCTCCTCAGCACTTTCTGCATCCTCAGGAGGCTTCTCTTCCTCCCCTTTCCTTTTCGATGCTGGTCTTGAAGGTAAACCCTCTGCTTGAGCCTCCTTCTTGGGTGGCGAGGAAGAAGACGCTGACGCCTCCCTTTGCTCTGCCTCTTCATCTTCCAAAACCGGAAGCATTTCATCATCTTCAGCAGTCTCCTCATCCAACATCCCCAAGCTTTCATCAGAGTCCTTACCTTCCACTGGCCACGTGTAGGAGCCGACCAAAAGGTATTTCTTCTCTTCACCATCCACGTCCTGACCCCACTTCAATGGGCCACAAATGTCAACAGCTAAACAATGCGCTTCTGGATCATCATGTCTTCTATGCGGCCTTTGTCTCGCTGCTGACCTCTGGCAAACCACGCAATCGCGCCGAAACGGCACATGTCCATTGTCAACGTGGGCAGTCCACGACAACTTCTTCAGCCGAACCTCTTTTCCTTCTACTTCTTCTATCAAAAGCCTTGCAACTTCATGCATCATCCCAGGAGCCCACCTCGAGAGCTTACTGGAATCCAGTTCTGGACCTTGTTCTCTGCTCCTCCCACCATGTACTAGTGGGTCTGGTGGTTGAAACCCAAGGTTTGTTCCGCATGTTGTTGGCTTTCTCGCTTCACCTCCAAAATCTCCTTGGTAAAACGTCACTTCTTCCATCTGGTAGTAGTGCTTGAACAGCAACCATGTTCGATTTCTCCACCACGAAGCGCATTCTGGACACCACTCCGGTGCTGCTGGCTGCTCCAACAGAAATCCAACCTTGGCCTTCAAACACCTCTTGCTTCTTTCTTTCACCATTGCATCTCTCGCTATCTGTGCAACCATGTACAGGGTCAGCATCCTCAGCATCAATGCATCGTCCTGCAACAACTTTCCTTGTTCATCAGGGGGAGCATCTGGAAGTCCCCAAGGGTATCCCGCCGTCCTCGATGGTCCTGGGAAGCCTTCTCTTGGTGTGTGTCGCAGCACTGAACGTGTGCGGCAATTTGGGCCACCAACCACTGCATCAATGGCTCCTAGCATTGCCAGCTTGAGGAGGGTACTGTACATCCCTCCAATTCTCAACATGTCATGATGTGCTCCTCTCTTCACGTCTATTTCGATCAACCTCGTGCCATCACCTCCCTTCTCCAAGTAGGCTCTCTTCAGAGTCAGGCCTTCTTCTGGCCCGGCGTACAAATGTACAGTGACCCCTTGTTCAATCCATCGTCTCCTGGTTCTTCTGTTGGCCTTCAAAAGCAAAAGGTCTTCGGCCGGCACTTCCACTAGGTTGTCCTTGACAAGTGAGGGTATTGAGGCCAGTACTGGATGTTTCTCTACCAACTCAGCCATCCATTCTGCGCCCCAACATGCATCATCATATGCCACTTTTTTCATGCTTCGAAGCGACATCATTCCTTCAAGTTCATCCACCATCTTTTCCGCTTCTGCCTGGGTGATCTGTGGACATCCTTCTTCGACCTCCACTGCTATCTGTCCCCTGATGGGGTGGAAAAGAAAGCATTCATCATCTTTCCACTCAAAGCTGCATCCCAGTTCTCGTACTAGACGACCAACTGGTAGTATCGGTTCCATCCCTGGTTCTTCATGTACCAGGGTTCCTCCATTCGTCATCCACATTGTCTTTGAACCTCCAGCTGCAAGGTTCACTCTCACTTTCTTGTACTCTTTGCCCTCAACCAGGTTCTCATCACTCCTCTTGGACCTCAGAGCGTGAGTGGCTCCAGTATCCAGCAACGCTTTCTTGCCGAACTTGACTCGGGCAACCATGGCAGTCTTCATCATATTGATTCTAGGCTTCCACGATCCGTCCTGAATCTGTTGCAACTCCTTCTGTAGCTCCAGCATCCGTCCTTTGGTCATTTCTTCCCTGGTCTTTGTAGGCTTTTCTTCAACTCCCATGCTCTTCAGCATCTTCGAAGCTTTTTCCATGACGCTTCGCAGAGAGTCTCCTCCAACACTAGCAACTTCTTCTTTGGTGGTCTCAGCCTCCTTTGTTGCCACTGCTGGGGCCTCAGCAGGGGCAGGGCTCTTATTGGCGGTTTTGTTGGGGGCCTCAGCCTCCTTTTCCACTTTCTGCACCTTTGGGTCTTTTTGAATGTCCTTGCGTGGACACTCCCTCGCAAAATGCTTGGTGGATCCGCACACATAGCACCTTTTCTCCCCTGGCTCTACATTGTGTCCCCAAGTGCAAGCTGCACCACGTCTGCAACCATCCTCCTGATGAAAGAACTTGCATTCCTTCACATTCTTTTTCACATTCTTGTCCTCTGTGCTCCCACTGCTTGCGGCGTTCAACTGCTTCACCTGGCTGGTTGTGGCTGTCGCTCTTTCTGCATTAGCCACCTTTGACCTTTTCTCCAAGTGGACCAGTTGCTCCAGTTCCGACAGTAGGTGTTCAGAGTACGTCCTCACAGTTTGATGGTTTGGAATTGTATCCAATTGGAGTGTGTTTCTGACAAGTGAGGTTCTGAAAGCTAGTTCTGGGTTGTTGTTCAGCAGCTTCTTCATCAACTTTGTCAGACCACGCAAAAGTATAGTGGAATCGGGTAAGCATAACCCGACATCCTGAGCTCTTCTCAACCATCGCAACCACTTCCGAAGACTTTGGACTCCAGTCACTGCGTTTCCTGCTTCGCCAGGATCCTCCAACTGACGCAGAATCACAGTTCGTTCATGTAGTCCACCAGGCTGGTAGATGGTCATCAACTTGGCAATCACCTTCACTGGAGAAAGTGACTTGGTAGCAACAAGCTCTTCTCTCACTCCAGTGGGTATGGCATCCATGAGCATGGAAACAGCTCGGCGTTCCACTCGAACCCACTTCGTCTTCTTCAGTTCTTCAGAGGCCTCGATCTCAAAGCTTGTTCTTTGAAGTGGTCGGAGCTTCACATACTCAGAGTACCATGCGCTGCATTCATCCAGCACAAGTCGCCACCAAACATGCGAACTGTCTGACAGATCCGTCATCACCGGCTCTATCATGGTCAACCAGTCGGCATAGTCAATGGGGGCCGTTTCGGTCGGCTCCTGGAGGGTCTGCAACTTGTTCACTCCAGGTTTGACCGCTTCCATCTTTTCTCCATCATCTTTACCTTGCTGACTTTCCAGAAGGTGCAACATCATCTTAGACAGGACATCAACCTGCCTTTGCATTCTTCCATCATCAGCTGGCTCCAACGCATTTCCTTGGTTCTTCCTGGCATCTCCTCCGGTCCCTTTCTCACCTGCTTCCTTCTTTGGAACATCTCTTTCTTTCTGTCGTGCTCCTTCTGAAGGTTGATGAGATTCCCAAGGTCCTCGAAGGTCTCGTCCAGGAGGTGGCTTCTTCACTGAACCCACCGCAGCATCCATCACCTTTTGCAATTCATCATATTGCTCCATCGGTGTCAACTCGTACAGCCTTCTCCTCTCGGATTCCAAGTCATTCTCTGTCTTCACAACCCGGTCTTCAGCTGCACGGCTTCCTTGCTGTTGGCTTTCAGGAGTCTGAAACCCTTCCACTTCAGGCTTAGCCTTTCTTCCTCCTTCGCCATTTGGCACCTCTACCTCAGAGGTCTTTCTTTCTTCCTTCTCCCTCAGCTTTTCTTTCAGCAACTCCTGTTCCATCTTCAGCTGCATGTTCTCTTGCTGCAACATGAAGAAGTACTGCATCATCTGCTGCTGATAAATCACTGAGGGCGTACCAGCAGGCATCGCTGCAGGTCTTTCTGCAGGTAGAAACTTCGGTCTTTCCAACTGCACATCTTCCAAAGCTAAACCTGAAGACCTGGCTTCATCCTCTATTCCTAGCTGCGTCCTCTGTGGACTTCCATACAACAGAGGTGCTCTGTTGTGCAGTTCTTCAAACTGCCTCACTTGTTCTTCGGTGAACAGCGGCTCTAGCTCTTTTTTGGGTTCTTCATTCTCTACATCTTTCTTTTCATCTTCAAGTTCCAACATTTGAGGGTTTTGAGGTCCATAACTCACAGGTCTCCCAGTTGGCCCAAGCATCTCCTCTTCTGGCCTTTCTTCGCCTGATCGGTCAGCTTCAGGACTTCCACTGGCTCTCCTGCGCATCATCATGGCTCCTCAGCAGCGGCTAACGACAGGTTGGGCTCATAACCTGCACGCAGGTCAGCCCTGGCAACTTGTTTTGAACCACAAAGCGGCTATGCCGTCTCGATTTGGCGTGTCATCCTGTGCAGGTGGCTGTGCTAATCTTCTCTGACTTTCTCAGCAAGACTGAAACCTACACAACTGAACATGCTGTTTCACGTTTCAAATTGGAGTGTCTGACATCCATGCAATTTTTCATCTATTTTTTCATCATGGTTCAGTGAAACCAAAGGGGAGAAAGTGCTACGGCTGTCCTTTTCGTTCTGGATGACCTGCCAGGTCCGGCGAATGACAAAGGCACTGGCCGTTTTTGCTGCGGCGTTTTCACCGTGGCCTCCACGACTTGTCTGATTGCCGTGTTGGCCACAAGACCTTCTTCCACTGAACCAATGCCGACCTCAGCATCTTCTGGTCAAGATATCAAGTCACTAACCCGACTCCAGCATCTTCCGGAAGACTATGGACCCCAGCATGGACCGGCTGGCTCAAAAACTTCGTTGCCAAAGCATGCACAGTGGCCTCGGTTCAAAGGCTGTTCATCTCGATCTCTGCCACGGGAACAAAAACATGGGAACAGATGGGAAACATACAATATATTACAATATCAAAACCTGCTGGACATGTCGGATGTCAAGGCAAAGACCGGCCAAGTGGCACCTCATGGCTCGAAATCGAATGGAAATCTGGAAATGGACGAAATGTGGACGAAATGTGAAGATCTTGAAATGGAAAGATTGGACTTTGATGACTCTGAGGCAGCAGCTGAACATGCAGGTCTGCCGCCTCAGATGTCTCTGAGAGGGTCATGGTCATGGGTTCACGGCAATTCACCAAACCTGCGAGTTCAGTGGGTTTAGATCTCAACTGGTCCAAAACCTCCCATGAAGGCAGCGAATGAACCAAGTTCAGATATTGGGGCCTGTAGGTTGTCGGTGCAAAAAGAATGAAGGAGACATCCCAAACATCTCATGGTCTGTTGATCCATGCCTTCATGCCAGGGACCTCTCAGGGACCTCCCACATCTCTTCACCACCAAAGTGAGCCTCTCAGGACCGGACTGTCCAGCCTCGAACCGCGCATCCCAGTTCGCGCATCATGGTCTTATCATGGCATCATGGTCTTATCATGTCTCATCTTCATTAAAGTACACATAGTACACATTCATCTCAATCATCTTGATATATCTTGATCCTTATTCATATTGGGTGGGCATTGATCATCATTAATCATCAATATAACTATTCATCATTGTCATATATTGTCATTATATAATCACAATATATCACAATGAACATTCTGATTCATCAATCATCATTGAATCATCATTCTCAAATTTCTCATCTCATCAATGATCATTCCCCTAATATTTCCTGAAGTCATCTCCTTGCCCTTACACATCTTACACCGCGCCGACCACGCCGACCGCGCCTTGGGCATCTTGCCAATCAAGGCTTTGACTGTGTCGATGAAGCCCATGTCCAGCATCCTATCTGCCTGAGAAAATCCATTTTCTTCAGCTTGTTTTGACAAATTTTGACAAATCGATGCTCGGATGTGGAATGCTGTGGCAGGGCTAAGCAAAGAAAGATTTTGTGGATGCATCAAGAAGCAGAGCGACGCGCCAAGTCTTTTTGATCAGGACATGGCAAGTAAAGAGGCTGAGATCGTGGTTGATCTCAAATGCATCTTGCGCATCTGCGGAGACGTGCTTGTGCTGGCTGCTGCAGCGACTTCTCCCCAGATATCTCCAGACCAATTCGACCCTTTCAGACCCTTTCAGGGTGAAAGAAAGGTGACTCCCACATGACTGCGACTATTGTTAGGTCCTCAGTCAAGAAGGATCTCACCAACAATTTTCCATGGTTCAGAGTGCCTACGTGTAGATTGCGCATCAATAGCTTCAGAGTGCCTACGTGTAGATCGGGCATCAAAAGCTGCATGACCTGACTTGCTTGACCTCGATTCTTCAGCCAGACTTGGGCTGGCTTTGCTTGCCCTACTGGGAGATGAAAAGCTCTGACGTGTTGACATTGCAGCTGTAGCAGCTGTGATGCACGTGACACTTCTCGCTCTTTCAATGTCCTCTGAAGCACGAGAGACTGAACGAGAGTCTGATCTGCCACGTACGCGTTCCTTGGCTGTTTTGGAAGCTTTCCTCTGCAGACTTCGCAATGCAGGCGTGGAGAGACTGGTGGCCAATGATGGCACTGCTGGAAAGCTAGGCCCATGATGTTTCCAAGTCGTTGGTTTCCACGCAGCTTTGTCCTTCCGTTTGCCGTCATAAAGTCGAGAAACCGCCCCATCCGCAGGCCAGCTTCGTTCCGGCGCCTTGGCGCGTTCGACATCCCATGGCACCAGGTCGCAGTGCGGCAGGTACCCGAAGCGTCCGAAGGCCGAGCCGCTGTGCTCCCAGCTGGCCGGCCAGCCCTTGGACCTTTCCGGGCGCACGAAGGGATCAGGGCTGGCACCTAACAAGGCGGAGACCGTGGATGGGTCCAACTCACGGCCCACGGTGGAGATCCGCTTCCACTCCTGCCACAAGATATCACAAGATCCAAAAATATCGAAAGATCTAAACATGTCAACGACTAATGTTAGGGCCAGTTAGGGGTTGTTGGAAACTTCGGGGAATTTCTTCAAGAGTAACCTATTTACTCAATTGACCCTGGTCTCGATTGTGCAGCTAAACAACTGTGTCACGGTCAAACCATGGTAAATAGGGTGTGATGTGGTATGATCATCCCGCTATCATTAGGCATTCCATGGGGTTCCTTAATCGAGGGATGACCACCCTCTTTATGGGATAATAACCCATGGTTTGACCACGGCACAAATGATGAAACGTTAAATACACGCACAAAAATGCTGGGATCGTATGGGACTTCCGCTCTGTGCTTGCAGATGTTAATGCTGTTCTTGCATGCTTTCACCAAATTTCTCGGAGCCACTTCAACAAAACCAAGAGTCTGCTTGGACATCTGCTCACCGAATTGGGGAACAGCAAGGACGTCTAGTCAAGTCTAGCCTGGCAACCACGGCAAGGCCTGTCCTCGAGGCAAAACTGGCTTTTGGTGGTCTCTGGTGGTGCTGGTCGAGACAACAAACTAGGCAAATGCTTGGAGCTTCGGCTTTCCGACAACTGATTGAAGAGGTCCTTGGTGGGACCCAGATGGACTCACTAAAAACATCTTTAAAAACAAAACACCACCAGCATCACCGACGCTGGGGAGGGAAAGGAAACACAAACCAGGCAATATAGCATGTATAATATATACATATGTAATATTAATATAATATTAATATAATATCAATATAATATATAATTATATATACACTTCTGAGATCTTCTGAGCTGGCTCTTTCGAGATTCAGGGCACTATCACAAGCGACACTTGGAGAAACCAGCTGCCCAAACTGTTTGAAGATATCGGCACGAGGCCACTGAGGACATTGGAGAAGTGACACAACTGCCAAGTTGCATCGAAAGGGACTTGGCAATCGCCTGCAACGGAGGGATTCTGTGATTCAGAAGGGAGCAATCTTCGACACGGCCAGGGCTTTGGAAATTTGGAAATTTCAAGTGAACATCGATCACCCGCCTGTTTCCTCCCATGGTTCAGGTGACTTTGCCTAAGAGGCAGGGGATGACTGGGGAACAATGGGAACATTCCAAACCTTCATCGTCACAGCAGATGTGTCCAAAATAGCCAAGACACCGCAGTGGCCATGGACCCAGCGTTTTCAGGTGAAACAAAAACGTTGCAATATATATATATATGTCTACTTTGTGTCAACACATGTTGTGAAGGACATGTTGTGTTTTTAAACCAACCTGAATCTACTACGCCTGTCTTTGATTTGCATGGAACATACCCTGAACATTGACAGCAATACCAGCAAATGGCTGCAGGCACAGCGATAGACCTTGGAATTGACTTGACGCTGAAAAATGATGTCTTTTTCAGTGTTCGTTTCACTTGGAATTATGTCCCATGGCGAAAAGCTGGGCCTCGTCCAGCACCAAGTACTGCCTGGGTCATGACGTGTGGTTTTTGCCATCTGCTTGAAGTCGTAAACATCCATCAACAACCCAAAGGATCAAGAGGAATTCGGCAGTAAGAAGTCAGAAAAATGGGCTTCGTCAAATGTCTGAGACGTGAACACAGAACTGAGGTCCAAGGTTTCTTCTTCCACCAGGTCCTGACACCGTCTTTTTCTGCTACACTCACCGAGCCTCACTGAGTCTCGACACATATCTCTCGGCTTTGTCTCTGGTCTTTATCATTCTTTCACATGCATTCTGTTCATTCTCTATTAACTCTATTAACTCTACTAGTCTGTTCTTGTCTTGATCCTTTCTCTGCACCTGAAGTCTTCCAGGAGTGCAAATCGCCATGTCCACGCCGGTACCAGAAATGGCCTGCACACAGCCGCCAAATCCACAAATCGGGTACATCAAAATCAGGCACACCGGTACTTGCAGGTCTAGAAATGGCATTTTGCATGAATTTTCCAACAAACAGCGGAACCACATGGGTATTTTTGGACTCTGAAAAATTCGAAACATGCTGGTTACATCTGGTTACTGAAATTGCTGAGACAACCAGTGCCTCACTGCTCAAATCTTCTGGCAACATCTGAGAACTGCACCTCACGCTGATCCCTCTTTGGCACACCGCCGTAGATGCACTGCACCGGATAGAGGCCCTGCAGCCAGGGCGCATGGCAAACGCTTCCTGCGCCTTGAAATTTGAACAGCTCTTGTCTCCATATGTCTCCATCCAGTGTTTTGTCCTCCACCATTTTCCAATCCTTTTGATGATTCCACTTTTGTCCTCTCGTTCCCTCTTTTCTCTCTTACGGTTCGTACAAGGTCATCATGGTCCTCATGCTGCTCTCAGCAGGCGAATTGTTAGTCTGCTCTCTGTACTTTTAAGAACATTTCCAAGCTTAGATCGAGCAATCTCCATTACAGCACGTGTCATCCTTTTGAGGTTCTACATGGGACTCTGCCAGTTCAAACTGTGCAAAGCCTTAGCTGAAAACTAGCGCCTCATCTCCTGCTGTCAGGGCCTTGACCAGCTCCGAGCAAACCTTCCAAGGTTCGGGCAGAGGATTTGGAAACGGCCGCCAGTGTTGGGAAATACTCCCGAGCTTGGTTTTTGAAGGTTTTTGTTGGTGTTTCATGGTTTTTGAAAACGCAGATCAAAGGCGAAAAATGGCGAAAACAGTGACAATTCTCAGATATCTGATGTATTGAATCGGTCTATAAATTTGTCTTTAATGATTCTTTATGTATGTTTCGCTCATAGATTGAGTGAAGAGACATGACTTGTGGAAGGCCTCGGCTATCTGCATGGCCAGCTCCCTGCAGCAGAGAAGTACAGAGCAAACCGCACAGCTCTTGCATTTCTCGCCATATCCGGTCATCATTATCAAACATCATCAAAAATCAACATCAACTTGCATATTCTAGATTATATTGTATCACTATGTAAATGTATATAATATATATATAATATCATGTTAATATCATGCTAATATCATGTTAATATCATGTTATAATATCATGGTTTTATGAAATTCAATCATATACCATATTTCATCACCTCGGATGGACATGGTGTCGGCGTGGCGCATGATGTCCGTGCAGTCCGCAGCCCTGGCCTCGTTGGCGCCATCGCCACGAAACGCGCTGAAGCGCAGGGTTGCTCAAAGACATCCAGTTGTCCCAGCCTGGCAGGTGCCCGGATGATGGGTGAGGATGCTGATGCCATCTGAATCAATGGTGAATCAATGGTGAATCACATGACTCAGATTCTAGATTGTGATTATCGTGACTATGATCATGACTCATTTGATTCACAACAGAATCGATGACTGAATCCATGACTAGCCATGCCGGGATTTTGTGGATCTTTTGTCAGTGGGAATCAATGGGCTCACTGTGCAAGCCTGGACATGGAAAGGTACGGCATAGCGAAGGCCAGAGTCTTGCCACTTCCAGTCCTAGAGTCTTAGAGCAACAAACTCACTGCATGAAACAGCAAGGATATGTTTCCTCAGTTTCCCGAGTATCACTGGTAGTATTCACTAATATCTATTGGCATCTCATGGGTAGAGAACCATAGAGAACCAAACTGCTGCGGAGTGGCTTGGCAATGCCGCAAACATCACTCCTCCTTAGCGCCCGGAACTTGGAGGGGTTTTCTGGCTGTGGGAGTGGCGAAATAGGCGAAATCATTGCAGCTCAGTAACTGCATGATCAGAGGCCAGGTGCAAGCCTTGACGGCGGGAAAGGTTTCTTGGGGAGGGCTCAATGGGCTCAACCGCACATTCGGATGGCGAGGGACAGCGGCACCTGGGTAGGGATTAGGTAGTATATTCATGTCGGTTCTTTTCCATTATGTCCATTATGTATATACCAACAAAATACATGATTGGTGTCATTATAAGTATTACAGTAATGCATTGTGTCATTGTGATTTTGTCAAATAGAAACACATAATGATCATAATGTTTCTGCAAGGCATGTCTTTCAGCGCTGTGAACGTCCTGCCTGGATCGGTGTGGGCTTCTCAAATTTACTCTGACAGTACCTCCAGCGACAGCGGAGGTCACTTGGGGTGTCTCTAAAATGGGGGATGCCGGCGATACTGCAGATACCACCCGTCGCCAGAATCCAAAACATAGCCATAAGTTGAATGAAAATGCTGCGAATGTTGATCAATGACGGGATTTGGGAGTTGAATGGATTTATATTATAATATATATTATATTATGTAATTATAACATATATATATTACATATATGTCATGTAATATGTATATATTTGGGTGTTTTGTTGATACTTGTGGCCTTGTGGCAGTTGCAAATGTTCAGACAATCCCATGGGATCACTTGATGAGCCGCTTGGCAAAGCCATCAAATTGAAAGCCCGCCAGAGGAGTGATGTCCACGTCCTTTCCCTCAGGGATGGCAACTTTGATGCCATGTTCTTCGAAGAAGGCCTGGAATGGACGAACGGACCAACGTCCTCCCAAAAAGTGAAGGGAATCACATGGTATCGCTGCTGGACAAGACTCTGAACTTGATTTTGAACAGGTCAAAGAAATTCACATTGGCAGTTGTGCGATTTTATTTCACATTGAGATTCCGTGTTCACACTGAGTAGGTCTGTCCCTTTCAACCTGTTTTCACAGAGATGTGTGTGTGTGTGTGCAATTCACACTGAGGTTCTTCACATTAAGAAAACATTCCAACACCAGGTCCTTTCTTCAACTGGGGCTGATATTTCCGCTGGGCACCTTGGCTGCCTCCACACTTAACTTTGCCTTCTTGGCCTTTCCAGGATAGGGATCAGCAATGAGGAAAAAAACAAAAAAAATCCGTGGATTGGCAAAGGATTTTGGTGCCAAAATGGCCCAAATTGGCAGAGTCCTTGGATTCGCCCTTTGCTTTCCCGTCTTTCCTATCGCCATCTTTTCGTTTTCCTGCCATACACCTTCGCAGGGAGCACTTCGAAAACTAGTTCATGAATGTTCATGAAGCATTTCATGAAGCATTTCATGAAGCATGAAAGCCTGGCGGATGCCTTCGCACTTCAAGTCCAGCCACACAGGCAAAACTAAGTCTGACAGCTGATGCGCTTCTTTGTTTCACGGGTTTTGATTTGGTCTTCTGTTCTGGATAGTTCTGCAGTTTCCGCAGATTGAATGTGGTAAGAGACTGTAGTATTTCGCAAGGGCTGGGCATAGCATAGCACAACATGATGCATTTGACCCCTTTTGGTTGGAAAATCTCAAAGGAGACACATTCGAACATCTTCGAACGCCCTTGTCGTGAGTGACAATTTGCTGCGTTACTTGTAGATGATGTTGCTGAGAGCTCCGTATAATGGTTTGTCACTCCTCCCTGTTGGTCTGAGACGGCTCTGGAAATGATGTATGGAATGTTCAAAGATGTTCAAAGGCTGCACATGGGTCTGTTTGCACAGAACAAATGACAACAAGGCGCACTGGTGCCTGCATTTGTTGTTTAGCTGATTGGATGAATCAACCGATTGAATTCAAATCTTAAAAACTCCATGTCGAGAACACAAAATCAAACGGTGCCTGCACTTGAGCTTTTTGTACAAGTGTCGTCACCGACAGAGTCTTGCTGAGGGCTCCAAGAGCCTTACTTTGCTCAGTGAGATTTCATATCTAACCATCTTGAACCTATAAACAAGATACATACATACGGTTACATACATAATACATACATATTGTGCTGCCTCTGAATTCCAAGCTGCTCTCACATCCCTTGCCTCTCCCAGGCTCTTGGTTCAGTGAGACATGGTTCAAGCTGAACTTTGTCCAGTCAGAACAGTGAAACGAAATGGAAAGAAGCTTTCGAAGGGATCAATGCTGGAGCTGGCTCAAGGGTCTCTGCCAGAGTGCGCAAGAAACCTTGCCTTGGTTGTATCGAAAGAAGGAGCCCGACGGCAAAACGGAGAAAAAAACTGGTGAAGAAACAACGCAAGGAAAGCTGAGTCTTGCCAGACCCAGTGATATGACATGCGTGGTGAACCGCCCGAACAGGACATGCAAACAGTAGTAAGTGAGACTTCGATGGTTTCATTGAACACACATATATAGTTCAAATATAGTCAAATATGGTATAGAATATAGCCAAATCATCGCCAAATCATCGCCAAATCATCGCCAAATATAGTCAAATCATGATCCGTCTTATGAAATCATATTTAAGACATCAATCAACTAGGTAAATAAATGTGCTGCCCGCCTGCTAACCAAAGATGCCCGGATTTGCCGCATGGACCTGGAAAGGGAACAACTGAGGGAAGCCTGGAGCAAAGGGCATACATAACATGTCCATGCCATGTCCATGTCAACAGCCTCACCTGGCCGAGCATACATCTCTCTTCCTCTGGGAAGGAGGAGAGTGATCTTCGCAGCAACCTCCGAAGCCAAGACTGGGCCAAGGATGTCGGAGAAATTGGGAAAATTGTCAAATGAAAAACACAAATCAACCCTCTGCACTTTCCCAAGCGGGCACCATGAGAAAAGAACTGTTTCAAAACTCATCGTCTGTCTCCAAGGCACTTTTTGTGAAGCGCACGCACCCACACATGCGTCTCTGCGTATGCAGTCTCGACGTAGTGAGGAACCTGGTTCAATTGGCCAGCGTGGTGATACAGGACTTTATTACGGTAATCTTTTGGAGAGTAAATCCTCTTTTCCTCAAAAAAAACACCAAGAGGCCCTGGTCCGGAAATCTCAAGCCCTCGAAATCTTCTCTGTTTCTCCACGGGTTTTCCAACCTTTGCCCCGCCTGGTCCAGCACGGCCATGTCCCCCAGAGTGATACCAGCCTCCACAATTTCTGGATCTCGGCGGCCCAAGACCTGGATTCGTGGCCAAGATATGCCAAGATCAAGGATCCAGGTTGAAACACTACGGGAAACAGCCGTTATAGCTTGTAATGTAATATATGAAATTATATGATGTTATATGATATATTTATAAATAAATAAATAATAACGCGTATATTGCCAAACAATTTATCAAAGTATTCCGCAAAATTCGAATCATGTTGAATCTGCCACGGAATTTGCCTCAAGTCGAACGCGTCCTGCTCGAATGAAGTACATCATGTCGCCCTGTCGGATAAACACACTGCAGCCTTGCCTTGCAAAGATGACTCACTTCATAGAAACAGTTTCTTTCAGAGATTTTGAGTTAGAAAAACATAAAAAAACAATATCTGATAATCAGCTGATATGCATCACGATCATCAGCATGTTCGCTGCTATCTGTGGCTCCTCTTCGTATTGGGAGTACAGCTTCTCTCCAGGCCAAAAAGCCAAGTCCTGAGAGAAAACACGAAGAATGGATAGGAATGGATGAAATCTACATCTATTTTTGATCAGTTTTATTCAACAATACAAATTTCTAGTGATATGATATATAATATGACATAATATTACATATATATATAATATATATATAAGATGATACCTATAAGCTGTATCAAAACTACAGACTTCTTCGGGGCATAGGCCAGCTCAAGAGTCGTCACATTCGCCCGCCTCCACAATCTCAGCCACCTGTGCCACAAAACTCTTCGAACACGCCCTGAAGACCTGACCAAAAAAGCTCAGCACAGCGCTGTTGCAGTGGGTTCTTCCTCAGTTTCCTAAGAAGCTCTGTTATTCACGTTATGTTTATTTATTTTTCACATTGTGGGTGACAATCATCATCCCTGACATCAACAAACATCATCCCTGACATCATCCCTGACATCATCCCCGACATCAACAAACATCATCCCTGACATCATCCCTGACATCATCCCTGACATCATCCCTGACATCATGACATCAACAAACATCATCCCTGACATCATCCCTGTCATCATCCCTGACATCATCCCTGACATCAACAAACATCAACAAACATCATCCCTGACATCAAGAAACATCATCCCTGACATCATCCCTGACATCAACAAACATCATCCCTGACATCATCCCTGACATCAACAAACATCAAATTCCTTAAAGTTCCATAAAATTCCTTTAAAATTCCTTAAAGTTCCTTAAAATTCCTTTAAAATTCCTTAAATTTCCTTAAAATTCCTTAAATTTCCTTAAAATTCCTTAAAATTCCTTAAATTTCCTTAAAATTCCTTAAAATTCCTTAAAATTCCTTAAAATTCCTTAAAATTCCAGGTGCTCACAGGTCCTCTAAACATCTCTAGACCGGGTCAACTGCCACCGAGTCCATGGAGTTCCCTCTCGTCCACAAGTTCTGCGCCTCGCTCTGTTCCACGCAGTCAGGCATGTTCTTGGCACCTCACATTCAAATGAACCTAACATGGAACCTAACATGGAACCTAAGAGTCCTGCAAAACCGGAATCCAACATGCACACTTGGCTCACAGTGTTCATTTTTTCATTTTTGTTGTTAGTTCTAACTCGAGTTCTAGGATGATAGTGAATTAGTATTGGCTTAGTTATTTAATATTATAATATGGAATAATCATATACATATCATATACCCTTGCCATACCCAATCTTTATCCATCTGAAATATCCAGATGGAATTCCTCTGAGGATTCTGCTTCCATCCCCCACTGGGAAGCCAAAGGCATCCAGGATTTCGCCCCCTGCCAGTACTCGTTGAGAGGCAGTGTACCTTGGGGAAACGGAACCTTTGGTTGACAAAAAAATGGATAGTTCACTATGGTTCATGTTTAAGTTCACTGTAGTTCTTCACTAGAGTTCAAGTGAATATCATAGAATGTCACTATAGTTCACTATAGTTCGCCATAGTTGAGGTGTATTGTGATTCTGAAGCCATGGCCGAGTCAAAAGCAGCCTTGCCATGCCACAGCCTGGAACCTAATTCCATCCAATTCCCGAAACCATTTGAATTCTCAGTTAATATGACAATATTAAATTCCCATGAACTGATTGACAATATGACAATATATTCAATATAGGAAACATTGGGAAACCATCTGACAATATCAGCCATTTAAGAATTCCCATCATCCATCGATCATGGGATCTTGGGATTATGGGATGAACACTTGGACGAGCGGCGGAAGCATGTCATCCTCCATCAACTCGTCATCCAGAGCCTTCTGCATCGTGGACTGCCTTGGCAAAGGCTTCGGCTAGACTAACCACTGACACAGAGATTGCACAAGTGCACAACTTCTTCATAAAGATCTTTAAAGAGATCAAAAATGATGAAAAATGATGAAACATGATGAAGAATAATGAAAAGATGAAAAGAGTGGGTACGTTTTCAAGAGCAGCAACGTGTCGAACGGCAGATTGCAGTGTAAAAATAAAGCATCTCAGATATCTCATAGATATCTCAGTCAGTATCTCAAACTGAGGAAGCAGCTGCAAGAGCAAACAATCGCAGGCTTGGGTGGATCGAATTGTAACCTCGAAAGCTCAAAGCTCAGTCTGTTGCAGATTTCTCGAGTCTTCTGTGTTTCTGAGGTCTCCAAATTCATTCTTGGAAACTTGATTCAAAATATTCAAAATGATCCAAGCATATTCAAGCAAATTATGTCTATGTCTACAAGCCCTGATTTCTGGAGGATGTGAGATATTCGATATAGGATATACTTCTAGGCACCCATATCCAATCTGCCATGCCACAGCACTCCGAATAATCCGAGACTGCAACGTTCGGCTCTGGACACTCCAAGCCCATAAAGTGATGCAATCCGACGTAGCCGCCTGGCTCGAGGCTCCAAAGCAGCCATGAGATGTTTCAAACAGATGAGATCACTCAAAATGCAGACCTACAAACTTTCAGACGCGAACTGGATCAAAGATGATCAAAGGGTTTGGCAGGTGGATCATCAAAAAAGGTCTAAAAAGCCTTTAATTTCAACAGGAAATTCAACTGGCTGCTTTCGGTGTGGCGCCCTGCCTGCCCCGATACGTCGGACTTCGATGCCCATGATTGCCAGTTGCAACTGGTGGCGATGAAAAAAATGGCAATGGCTCGTAGCTTGACACCCAGGTTTCGGATGGTGCAATGGCATTAAATAAATATAACTTTAAATCTACAAACATTATATAGATATATAATTATATAATATATGAATATATATGAACACATAATGTTTCTCAACATTGTTGATCTGAAGTGCACTTGTCTTGCTACCTCGTACAGGTATGACATGGTGTGAAGGCCAGATATATTTTCAATTTCTTTAGCTCGATACATTGCAGTCGAGTTGAAAGCGGAACTCGCCTCGCCACGGAGCACAAAGAGCATCGAGTTGTCTTCTACGCGCTCACCCGAGGAGTACAGCAAGGAGCCTCGCTGTCGGTGCATCGTCGTTTGCACGGGCTTTTGCCCAAAGAAAGGAGGACACTTGGCAAAGATCGGCAAAAATACAGGACTGGTCTTCCATTCTAAAGTCTTCCATATGGGGATGGGTCAAAACCTTGTACCCCTGTAGTTCACATCAAAATAGCTGGTAAATGGATGTTCATCCCCCTAAAAATGGTATGTATAGGTATTGATCCATAGCCATATCAATACTCTTTCTTCCACTTTCTGTTGGGATTTGATTTTTGCCAAAGCGTGGCAGCTGTTATTCACCGCAGCTGAGTATGAGACTTGGTCTGTAGTACACAGGCCTCGCTTCTTCGAGCACGTCCGACAGCAAGGAGGCCTTGAACGGCAAGGAAAAGCATTGGAAGGGATAGTGAGAGCCCAAAAACTGCAAGGCATCACCATTTTTAAAGAAGTGGCAAAACAAGATAAAACAAGTAAGTAGGCAAATTCGGAAAATGGATCTGGGTCAAATGCTCTAGTACTTTCGAACGCTCAGAACATGAGAATTGACCAGGACGAGTTGTTCAAAGATCTCGAGGGGTTTTGAGTGTGCAGAAGTAGAATGGAGTCACCCTGGTCACTTAGCTCTCCGGCTGGCAGCTTGTTGAAGACAGGCAGTACTGGCGAGCCACAAATTTTGAAGCTGGAAAGCAAGATGCAAAAGCAGAAGATGCAAAGGACAATGAAGACTGGGAAAAAGAGTAGAAACATCAAAGCAAAGCAAAAACAGCCAGGTAAAGCATGCGAATCGGCCCCAAATCCATCCTGTCGCACCTCCAAAATCTGGACATCCAGTCTTCTTTCTCCAGGTTTCATTCGCAATGACGACCTCCATTCGGTCACCAACGAGATCAACGAGCCATTCCCAGAACAGTCAGAATGGGTTCACAATGGCCTTGCGGGTTTCTGGATAGGCCACCATGGCGTTCTGCATGGCGTGTCTGTACAGCACCAGGACCAGGACGTTGGTCACCTTGGCGAAACTTCTCAATCCATAGATTTAGCTCCAGAGCATCAGATTTGAAATTCTGCTAGTGCTGCAGTGCGTTTTGGCATCTCTGTTTGATCTCCTTGTTATTCCTTGTTCATCATATTAATGTCCGTTGTCCATGCAGCCAATGCACTGCCACGGCATCATGGCCGAAGGTGGGTGTGTTCCCAAGGATGTTGTCTTGGTAGCACCATTCCCCACCTGCAGTGAGAACAAACGGGTGTCACAGAGGTGTCCTCGTTCTCCTTGCCAGTGCCGCGATGCGCTCAGTGCCCAGCGATGAAGTTCCACAAAAAAGAGCGTCTGGGGCTGTTCACACCTTGAAAACACTCTGCAGGCACAAAAGGAACAGAAAATGCAGAGAACGCAGGCACCCAAAAATTCAAACATATCTCCCAAAAAATTGCTATTCCTAGTGACCTAATGCGAGACTCCCTGAGCGACGCACCGGACAGTGCCAGCCAAGACCACCATCATTGCAGCGGAATCATCCTTGGTAAGGGAACTAAAAGGGTAAACCTGGGAACCACTTGGAACTTGGATTCAAAGACAACTCCCTTTGTTGTTTGATGTTCAACTTGTTGTCGCTCATGATTTCGTGATGTCTGAGGGCAGGATGTCTGAGGGGTGTTCGCCAGCGAAGGCAACCATGTCTCCAGCACAGAAGAGGCGAATGTCGGCATCCTACAAATGATGTTATCTTTTGATGCGTTTCAAACCAAACGTTGTCCAACTCAGATTTCTTTTGAAGCACCGCGCTGTGGGTGGCGGTCCTTGTGCAAACGAGCTAGGAATGGCTGGAATGCACAGGATCCGAACGCTGGGATGTTCTTCAGAATTCGCCAGTCGGCCTGGATGTTGCACTCGCCGAAGCAGTTCTTCGAAATGTGGCACAGCGCAGTTCGATGCTTTGACAGTTTATTGTGTTTATTAGACCTCTGTCCAGCTATGTCCAGTTTCAAAAAGACTTTTCAATGCGTTGTGGGACTCTTCTTCGTCTTCTTCCTCTTCTTCTACAACAAACCATGCCTAATTTACACAGTAGCTGCAAGTTGCCTCCTTTCCTTCTTGCAAGGATTGCTCCAAGGCTCGTAAACGAGCTTTTGGCAGTGGATGGCCTGAGCCACATCACGAAAACTATCAAAAACTGATCGGCTACTCATGCAGCTGCTACTTGCCACTACTCATCTACATTCATCTACATTCATCAACCTTATGCCTCATCATGAAACATCATCCTCTGACATGACTGAAGAAATGACTAAAGTGGAAGCGGACCGTGTGCTGAGTTTCTGACCGTCCAGCATGTCTAGAAGTTTCTCCCGCTTCATGACCTGAATCATGGCCTCACCATTGCAGGTAGGAGCGACTTGGACCTCAGCTAGGCAGCTAGGGCTTCTCTGTTGAAAGATGTTGAAACCCAAAAAGCGAAGCAAACTCTTGTGTAGAGCGCTGTTAGAATGATCAATACATGGGGGTTGTCCAAAATACCTTTTCCCGGACAGCCCTCAATCGCTCAGCCAATCGCGTAGCAACCGCGGTACCACAGTGAGCAATCGCGGAAGGGTTTGTTCTTCGTTGATCAGATCATATACATAAAATATAAGTTATGTATTATATAATGAGGATCCATGCGTGAACGCATTCGATTTCAAATTTGGGAACAAAATAAGCTCGCGCGGTCCGGAAACGGTCCGGAAAACTCACAGTAGTACCAGCAGCAGTAGTACTAGTAGTACTAGTAGTACTAGTAGTACTAGTCGTACTAGTAGTAGTAGTAGTAGTAGTAGTAGTAGTAGTAGTAGTAGGAGGGGTAAGAGTAGGAGTAGGAGTAGGAGTAGGAATAGGAGAAGGAGTTCTAGTAGCAGGGCAAGGGAAGAAAGGGAGAGGGAGGGAAAGAGAGAAAGAGAGAGAGAGAGGGAGGGAGGGGGAAACAGATGGTTGCGTTTGACCGGTTTCTGACGGGTTTCTGACTGGTTTCTGGGTTTCTGACTGGTTTCTGACTCGTTTCTGACCCTTCAGCGGAACTCGTGTCAATTGGATTTAAAAGCAAGAGCAGAAATTCCTAGGTGTACTAGTGGTAGTGGTGGTGCAGTAGCAGCGGGTGTGGTGGTAGTACTAAGAGTAGTAGCAAATCTAGTAGTGGGAGTAAGGATCCATGCGTGAACGCATTCGATTTCAAATTTGGAAGCAAAATAAGCTTGCGCGGTCCGGGAACGGTCCGGAAAACTCACAGTAGTACCAGCAGGACTAGCAGTAGCAGTAGCACTAGCAGTAGTGGTAGTGGAAATTGCAATAGGAGTAGGCGTAGGAGTTCTGATGGGAGGGTGAGGGAATAGGGGAGAGAGAGAGAGAGAGATTGCGTTTGGCCGGTTTCCGGTTTCTGACTGACTGGTTTCTGACTCGTTTCTGACCCTTCACACGAGTGCAATTGGATTTAAAAGCAAGAGCAGAAATTCCTAGGTGTACTAGTGGTAGTGGTGGTAGTGGTGGTGCAGGGTGGTGCAGTAGCAGCGGGTGTGGTGGTAGTGCTGGGGGTAGTAGCAAATCTAGTAATGAGAGTAAGGATCCATGCGTGAACGCATTCGATTTCAAATTTGGGAGCAAAATAAGCTTGTGCGGTCCGGAAACGGTCCGGAAAACTCACAGTGCACTAGCAGTAGCAGTAGCACTAGCAGTAGTGGTAGTAGTGGTAGGCGTAATCTGGTAGGAGGGTGAGGGAATAGGCAAGGGAGAGAGAGAGAGAGGTTGCGTTTGGAGTAGGAGTAGGAGTAGGAGTAGAAGTAGGAGTAGGAGTAGGAGTAGAAGTAGTAGTAGGAGTAGTAGTAGTAGTAGCAGTAGTAGCAGTAGTAGTAGCAGTAGTAGTACTAGTAGCAGGAGTAGTAGTAGTAGTAGTAGTATTAGTAGCAATGATAAGAGCTGAGGTGGATGGATGGATGGATGGGATGCTAGGCAAGTGCTGCCTTTTTGATGTTTCTGACCTGTTTCTGACCTGTTTCTGACCTGTTTTCAATTGGAGCTAGCTTGAATGTCAATTATTGGCATGGTTCTGGTCTCGAAAGTAGTAGTAGTAGTAGTAGTCGTCGTACTCGTACTAGTAGTAGTAGTAGTAGTAGTAGTAGTCGTCGTACTCGTACTACTAGTAGTAGTAGTAGTAGTAGTAGAAGTAGTAGTAGTAGTAGTCGTCGTACTCGTACTACTAGTAGTAGTAGTAGTAGTAGTCGTAGTAGTCGTAGTAGTCGTAGTAGTCGTAGTCGTAGTCGTAGTCGTAGTAGTAGTAGTAGTAGTAGTAGTAGTAGTAGTACTAGCAGTACTAGTAGTAAAAGTAGTAGTAGTAGTAGTAGTAGTAGTAGTAGTAGTAGTGGTAGTAGTAGTAGTAGTAATAGTAGTAATAGTAGTAATAGTAGTAATAGTAGTAATAGTAGTAATAGTAGTAATAGTAATAGTAGAAGTAGCAATGATAAGAGCTGAGGTGGATGGAAGGATGGATGGATGGATGGATGGATGGGATGCTAGGCAAGTGCTGCCTTTTTGGTGTTTCTGACCTGTTTCTGACCTGTTTCTGACCTGTTTCTGACCTGTTTCTGACCTGTTTTCAATTGGAGCTAGCTTGAATGTCCTTCTGACCTGAAAACATCTGCGCGGATTCCGCGCGCGCGGATTCCGCGCGCGCGGAATCCGCGCGGCCATGTCAATTATTGGCATGGTTCTGGGCTCGAAAGTAGTAGTAGTAGTAATAGTAGTAGTAGTAGTAGTAGAAGTAGTAGTAGTAGTAGTAGTCGTACTCGTACTAGTAGTAGTAGTAGTAGTAGTAGTAGTCGTAGTAGTCGTAGTAGTCGTAGTAGTCGTAGTAGTCGTAGTAGTAGTAGTAGTAGTAGCAGTACTAGTAGTAGTTGTAGTAGTAGTAGTAATAGGGTGGTAGCCGTATAACCAATCGCCAACCAATCGCTCAGCCTATCGCGATGCAGGTTTTAGCAATCGCGCAAAGCAAAGTAAACGCATCAATTCATAAATTTGTGACCTGCTTTTACGGACGGCTCCCACATATAATCCGCTTGTCATAATTCATAATGCATTCCTTTCAAACAAGCTCAAGAATTGATCTCATATTTCTTGATATTTCTTGTATTTCTGATCCATCTCAGAAGTCTGCTGTCTCTTCGCTTGGTTTGCTTGTTTGCTCACATACTCTCACCAACTTTCCTCCAACTTTCCACCAACCTTCAACAGTACTCCAGCACTGAGCGTTCGGCCGTCCGTGTCCAGCCGTTCAATGCCAAGAGCTGAGCAGCTCCTTGAACCGATCCTTGAAAAACGAGTTCCCCGGGAGCTGGTTCGAACATCAGAAGTCTTGGAACACTTCAAGAAGAAAACCAAAGCAGACAAAAACAACAACCATGCTGCTTAAATACCATTGTAAAATCATGTAAAGTCCTGTATTAAACCATTGTAAAAACAACTGAAGCGTAGCTCCAAATGAAGTCCGCACGGCCTTGTCCCACATTTTCGATCTCACGATCTTCCAACAACACCTCAGAGAGGCAAGCTGCAGAAGTCCAAGTACTTCGCTTGGGGAAAAAATGGAAACTAATGGAGAATAATGGAAAATCAGCATCATTGGATGACATCAGCACATCATTAGTAGCCAGCAATGTCAATAGGAAGGCACGTCGAAACAGCAGTTTTGAGGTCGCTGCTACACAGGATCCATGAACGAGTACGAATACAAAATCTGCATCAGGCTCCTATCAAGAAAAATGCTGGCAGTTCAAGTGCTGCAAGACATTCTGGCTCGGAGCTACACAGAAAACACAATATACCAAAAAAAACTAATAATAAAAATACAAACATCGAACTATGCTGAACTAAACCAAAACATGTACACAGTGGAGCACATCATCACTGCCTCATCGGCTACAATGGTTTCACCAGGTAGCAGCCATCGAGGTTCCCAAGCCCTGCAGAGAAGAGCAGTTTGATGAGCACTTGATCCTTTATGCTGCAACCACAGGTACAAACGAAGTGATTTCTAGAAGTAAAAAAGAATATGAAAGAATATAATGTTGATGACTCCTGCTTCAAAATCTTCAAAAAAGAACATGTTGAAGGGCAGTCATACTGAATCTATGAGGACATTGGCCTCACCAACTGATCTAGCAGCCGCGGGGGCGCATCGTGGACCAAGTCCTGCAAGAAGATCCGCAGCAGGATCACTCCACCGACAGGAAGCAAAGAAAACATATGGCAGGTTGGGACCTTGGGCTGGTGGTTCCAAACAAAAAACGAAGAAAAAAAAGACATGCAAAAACACCTTGTTTTGTTTGTGATTGTTTTTGTTTTTGCTCAACTATCTGTGTCACTTGGCCCAAAAGCCAAAAGCATCATCTGAGTGGCGGAAGATCTTTGAAACTCCAACCACTCCACTCAGATCCACTCAGCCCAAAAGCATCCCTCGCAGTCACTCGCAGTCACTCGCAGTCACTCGCAGTCACTCGCAGTCCCAAATCACAGAGTAGCTCTTCAAGGCGCTCATCAGCACGTGTTCGAAGGCGTCAGCTCCAGGAACTCCCCTGAGATTTGGCACTTTTCGGAAGAAAATGATATGTTCTTTTAATGTCGTAGATGATCAGTTATCATTCTTACTTATTCTCAGGTATCATCATAATTCATCATACAGTATATTATTTGATATATTTGATATGTTCTATTAGTAATGGATGGGTAATGAAATCTCGACTGAACGAGCCGATGCTGCCTGTAGCGACTTGTTGATGCAGAGAAGGCCTTGCAGGATACCACAGTCAAGCCGTGCCGTGACCCTCTCCATCTCTATCAGAAATGCTGGTCAATGAATCACTGTTTGTCATGCTTAGCAGTACTTAGCATCATCCCTGATGCCAAGATATGCCAAGTGCCTTGTAGGTTCCAGCCACTGCTTCTGCCTCCTCCCCTGCCTCCTGTGTTCAGAGCAATGCTTAACAATGTTTAACTTCTAACCGACACAGAGATGCAATGTAACATATGTAACAAAGCTGCAACCACCCTCTTTGGCTCAAGACAGCACGACAGCACGTCCTTGTGCGCTGGAGGACCAGTGATCTGACACGCGGCAAGCTGAATTCGAACGCAACAGGATGAGGTTTCTGCAATTTTCACCATGTCACTGCGACTCTTAGACTCCAAGGCATCCAAGGCATCCGCTGGACCCAAGTGAGCAGGGCGATCCTTTACCTCCAAAGGATCAAGTCGTGGCAGTGGGGCTGTTGAAGATTAAGACTTCGTGGCCAGTTCAGCCAGAAATGACAGACCTATAGGAATAGCAAGCCCTCTCCAGATTCTGGACGCCTCGTTCTTGGTTGAAGGAAGTGCCTTCAAAACTTCAAGTCGGTCGTGAATCCTTAGTTTTCGCAGATTGACAACGACCAACTGGGATCTTCAGGGACCATCGACTGGGGGATTCAACGCCTTTTGTGGCCTTTCTCACCTTTTCGGTGGCTCAGGATGCTCAGGATTCAACGTAAGGCCGTGTGGGAGGAAGAGTTCCTTCTCGGGACCTCAGTTTCACCAGTGCCCGAAATACACTGAGTTGAGCATCGGGACAAACATGCGAAAGATGATAACATGATAGGGCAAATGTTTAGTTTTGTGCTCCTTCTTTTTCATGATATGAGCAGTGTGTGTCTGTGCTTCACAGATCTTCACAGAACGGCTCAATTTTCAGACGCGTCGCAATTCTCCAGTGCTTGAAGCAGCACAGACCTCAGGGGGCTGCGCACTTCAGCCCTTTGATATCGAGATGGCTTGCAGTTCTCAATCCGAGCCTGTGAAGGATTGCTACCAAGACCTGTCATCCGCTGTGAATATCATTGGATGAACCACATGAATAATGTGGTAAACCCAAGAAGAAACCATCCCCCAAATCAGTTTTTTTTGGGGTTGTTACTGTATAATCCGCCGACCCCTGCCGACAGCAGGGGGAGCGCGTCAGAGAAGAGATTACAAGCAACAAGTGTTGTGCAGTGCAAGTGAGGGGCAAGCGAGGGGGGACAGAAAGGGAAGCCAGGTGCAGAGTAAGAAGCCCAAAAAAGGAAGCGAGAAAGGAGGGGCAGTCTCAGCGAACGTAGCAAGCGAAAGAAGCACGAAACAAGAAGTTAGAAGCAAGAATGCAGAAGCAAGAGTAAACGAGCGACAGAAAGTAACGTTTGGCACTCTGGGCTACGGGCCGCGGGCCCAATCCGTCTTTCACTGCCATGGCGTTTTAGCCCTGCGAGGGGGTCCCTTGACCGGAGCTTCAGGGCCATGGTGTTTGAGCTCTGCGAGGGGGTCCCTTGACCGGAGCCGGGCCGCACGAAAGCCAGCTGTCAGACAACGCAGGCAAGTTGGCAGTTGGCAGGGCAGGAAAGGACGGGAAAAGCAAGCTTTGAGCTGCAAGACGACGCAGGCAAGTTGGCAGTTGGCAATGCAGGAAAGGACGGAAAAAGCAAGGTTTCAGCTGCAAGACGACGCAGGAAAGTTGGCAGTTGGTAGTGCAGGAAGGCAGGGAAAAGCAAGGTTTGAAGCTAGTTTCTAGTTTCTAGGCAGTTCAGAAAGCAACGTTTGGAACCATGGGCTGCCGACCGCGGGCCCGATCCGTCCTTCGCTGCCATGGTGTTTCGGTGCTGCGACACGGTCTTCCAAGAGAGCACGGGCAAGCTGGCAGGTGGCCGATGAAGGGCGGGCAAAGTCCAAGTTTGGAGCTAGTTTCTAGGGAGTTCAGAAAGCAACGTTTGGAACCATGGGCTGCCGGCCGCGGTCCCGATCCGTCCTTCGCTGCCATGGTGTTTTGGTGTTGCGACACGGTCCTCCAAGAGAGCACGGGCAAGCTGGCAGGTGGGCCGATGAAGGGCGGGCAAAGTCCAAGTTTGGAGCTAGTTTCTAGGGAGTTCAGAAAGCAACGTTTGGAACCATGGGCTGCCGGCCGCGGGCCCGATCCGTCCTTCGCTGCCATGGTGCTTTGGTGCTGCGACAGGGTCCGCCAAGAGAAGACAAGCAAGCTGGCAGGTGGCCGATGAAGGGCGGGCAAAGTCCAAGTTTGGAGCTAGTTTCTAGGGAATTCAGAAAGCAACGTTTGGAACCATGGGCTGCCGGCCGCGGGCCCGATCCATCCTTCGCTGCCATGGTGTTTTGGTGCTGCGACAGGGTCCGCCAAGAGAAGACAAGCAAGCTGGCAGGTGGCCGATGAAGGGCGGGCAAAGTCCAAGTTTGGAGCTAGTTTCTAGGGAGTTCAGAGAGCAACCTTTGGAACCATGGGCTGCCGGCCGCGGGCCCGATCCGTCCTTCGCTGCCATGGTGTTTTGGTGCTGCGACAGGGTCCGCCAAGAGAAGACAAGCAAGCTGGCAGGTGGCCGATGAAGGGCGGGCAAAGTCCAAGTTTGGAGCTAGTTTCTAGGGAGTTCAGAAAGCAACGTTTGGCACCATGGGCTGCCGGCCGCGGGCCCGATCCGTCCTTCGCTGCCATGGTGTTTTGGTGCTGCGACACGGTCCGCCAAGAGAAGCACAAGCAAGCTGGCAGGTGGCCGATGAAGGGCGGGCAAAGTCCAAGTTTGGAGCTAGTTTCTAGGGAGTTCAGAAAGCAACGTTTGGAACCATGGGCTGCCGGCCGCGGGCCCGATCCGTCCTTCGCTGCCATGGTGTTTTGGTGCTGCGACAGGGTCCGCCAAGAGAAGACAAGCAAGCTGGCAGGTGGCCGATGAAGGGCGGGCAACGTCCAAGTTTGGAGCTAGTTTCTAGGGAGTTCAGAAAGCAACGTTTGGAACCATGGGCTGCCGGCCGCGGGCCCGATCCGTCCTTCGCTGCCATGGTGTTTTGGTGCTGCAACACGGTCCGCCAAGAGAACACAAGCAAGCTGGCAGGTGGCCGATGAAGGGCGGGCAAAGTCCAAGTTTGGAGCTAGTTTCTAGGGAGTTCAGAAAGCAACGTTTGGAACCATGGGCTGCAGGCCGCGGGCCCGATCCGTCCCTCGCTGCCATGGTGTTTTGGTGCTGCGACACGGTCCGCCAAGAGAACACAAGCAAGCTGGCAGGTGGCCGATGAAGGGCGGGCAAAGTCCAAGTTTGGAGCTAGTTTCTAGGGAGTTCAGAAAGCAACGTTTGGCACCATGGGCTGCCGGCCGCGGGCCCGATCCGTCCTTCGCTGCCATGGTGTTTTGGTGCTGCGACACGGTCCGCCAAGAGAACACAAGCAAGCTGGCAGGTGGCCGATGAAGGGCGGGCAAAGTCCAAGTTTGGAGCTAGTTTCTAGGGAGTTCAAGAAGCAACGTTTGGAACCATGGGCTGCCGGCCGCGGTCCCGATCCGTCTTCGCTGTCATGGTGTTTTGGTGCTGCGACACGGTCCTCCAAGAGAACACGGGCAAGCTGGCAGGTGGCTGATGAAGGGCGGGCAAAGTCCAAGTTTGGAGCTAGTTTCTAGGGAGTTCAGAAAGCAACGTTTGGAACCATGGGCTGCCGACCGCGGGCCCGATCCGTCCTTCGCTGCCATGGTGTTTTGGTGCTGCGACACGGTCCTCCAAGAGAACACGGGCAAGCTGGCAGGTGGCCGATGAAGGGCGGGCAAAGTCCAAGTTTGGAGCTAGTTTCTAGGGAGTTCAGAAAGCAACGTTTGGAACCATGGGCTGCCGGCCGCGGGCCCGATCCGTCCTTCGCTGCCATGGTGTTTTGGTGCTGCGACACGGTCCTCCAAGAGGCGGGCAAAGTCTCCAAGAGAACACGGGCAAGCTGGCAGGTGGCCGATGAAGGGCGGGCAAAGTCCAAGTTTGGAGCTAGTTTCTAGGGAGTTCAGAAAGCAACGTTTGGCACCATGGGCTGCCGACCGCGGGCCCGATCCGTCCTTCGCTGCCATGGTGTTTTGGTGCTCCGACACGGTCCTCCAAGAGGTGGGCAAAGTCTCCAAGAGAACACGTCTGGATCGGGGTATGGATCAGGGGTATGGATCAGGACACCATGCTTTTTTAGTTCTACACGTGCCAGGCAAAGTAGAAACAGAAGGAGTTGTAGTCATAGCACCACTAGAAGTACAATAAGCACCTAGTGGAAGTAGAACCGGTCTTACAAGCCTCCAAGGTGCACTTGCAATATTGCGAGTAGCTAGTCAACTAGTTACATTTGTCCAACTACCGAAGCACACGGAGAACGTGAGCCAGCACCAGCAGCGAGGGCAGGACCAGCAGGAGCAGTAGCAGCAGCTCCTGGGAGGATAATCACTAGTAGTGGCGGCGGCAGCAGCAGCGGAGGCAGTGGAGGCAGCAGTAGAAGCAACGGTAGTAGCGATGGGAGTAGCAGTACGACGACCAGAAGCAGTATATATTAGGATAAAAAGCATCGTTACGGCCAGCATCAGTCTTTCTTCAAGGAGAAAGGGGTATGGATCTGGGGTATGGATCAAGGGTATGGATCAAAGTATGGATCGGGGGGTATGGATCGTGTGTAGCTTTGGCGCCTTGATCCATACCTTGTATTTTGACTCGTACCCATATAGTTTTCTTGTAGGTTCGGGAAGTGACGTATGTGTCAACTCCCCCTCTCTCCCAGGGGTCGGCGGCAGGGGGCGTAGCCCCTTAATTATATATATATAGATATCTTATTTTTTTAATTATATTTATCTATTTTTAATTATTAAATATAGATATATATTCTTATTACACCGGCATAGACCCCAGATAGAAAAGATTTCAGAAACGTTTTTTCATGCCGCGTCAATGGGTCAGTGATATAGCGGATGTCTCGACAAGCAAATTTCACAGCATCTGCCTACTCAATTGACATGAGCAAATATTCTTTGAAAACGCGTTT